CGTGTGAAACATCACTTTCCACACGGGCCTCCCCTTTTTTTTTTCTTTCTCTATAACACCCTGTTTTTTCCTTCCTTTTTTTTTTTTTTTTTTTTTTTTTTTTTTGCCTGCATGTATTGTAAGCATGCCACGTGCATGCATTGCCCCACAAAGGCCAGAAGAGGATGTCAGATCCCCTGGAACTGGAAATATGAATGGTTGATAGGTGCCATGTAGGTTCTAGGAATCAAACGTGGGTCCTCTAGAAGAACAAGTATTCTTAACTGCTGAGCCATCTTTCCAGTCCCACAAACCACCTTTCTTGATCTTGGATTAAATACCTCATCCTTCAAAAGAATCACATGGGATAGCCTCTATAAATAGCGAGAAAACTAAAAGATTTGAAGAATCATTACAGTAAGAATTGGCTCTCTTCTTTAATCTTTATTGACACACAAGACATGAATGAACAGAAAAACACATGATTTGAAATTAAGTACTCTGGGATTATATTTTCATGCTAGTAGAGCTCTGGATAGCCAAGATCAGTCCTGAACCAGTGCAGTAAGGATCAACTAATAAGATCCAGAAGATGAGGAGTTTGAAAACCTAAAAAGTTACAGATAGCCAGGTGTGGTGGTGAGTACCTTTAATCCCAGTATTTGGGAGGTAGAGGCAGAGAGATCTCTGTGAGATAGAGGCCAGCCTGGTCTACATAGTACATTTCAGGACAGCTGGGGCTACAGGGAGACCTTGTCTCAGAAAAAAAAAAAAAAAGTTATCGATACACGGCCAATCTTGTAAATACACTGAAGGTCCAGTTAACTCAAAGCTATTTGGCCACCTACTACTAATGTCAGTACTAAAAACTCCAAATCTCAGGACACCTGCCCAGGGTATCTCTGTAAACCAGAGGAATCTATGGAAAGGACTCCAGGATGGTGCTTCCAGAGAGTTCTGAGTGGCTGGTTGCCCTCATACCCCTAGCCACCCCTCCATGCTCTTAAATCAGAAATCAGCAAGGGATTCTCCTAGATAAAGACACCATTCACTCTTTATCTGGAGATAAATCCTTATGAAGGGAGGACCCTTTATTCCTGTACTCTACTCTCCCGGCTCCCTTCCTGCCTCTTCTTTGACACTGCAGTCGGAAGTTGACTCTACAGCACACAGAAGTCACTGCATCTGGTGGCAAAGTTCAGAAAGTAAAGCTTCATTTCCTGACTCCCGCTATACCCCACAGGGCAGAAAATCTTCCCTGAAACAGGTGAGTGGGCTAGGACTAAAGTTGTCCAATCAGATTCTCATCCTATCACACAATAAGGGCATTGAACATTCTCGAATGAGACAAACCGCTAATATCTACCTACACGTAAGGCCATTTTCCCAACCTTGCCAAAGCATGGACCCCCAAACAATTGCTATGAGTGAATGAAGACTATCTTAAATAGAACAGTGCATGTCCCCTGAAACACCTGTGTGTTTCTCAAGTATCCAACTCTCCTTGCAGAGAGACAGTCACTGAGAAACATGTTCCTCTGGACTGTCAAAACTGGGACACACAGAGAGTATTTTTAAAGTCTGTTAATCACTGTGATGGTTCACCTTAGTGTCAGTTTGATTGGATCTGGGATCAACTAAGAGACGCACCTCTGGGTGGGGCTGTGAGGGTATTTCCTGGAAGGACTGACTGAAGGAGGAAGACCCTCCCCAGAGTGGGCACCAAAGATGTCTGAGGGGAAAGCTGTGCTGTTTTTTGCCTGCCCACCTTCGCCCTCGCTGGTGAGTGAATGGACCTTGTTGCAGACACTACTGCCAACAGTCCTTGCTGACATCAGAACCCAGGTTCTTTAGTTTTCTAATGTGAATTAAAGTCCTGCGGCTCCCCAGGGTACAGAACATCAGAAGATGCTTACGCAAATGCACTTTGAGTTCACAAGACCTAGAAAAGTTTACACCACAAATATGAATTACTTATAATTAGTTGCTTTGTGGACTCCCCTCTATTTGCACGTTTAAAGCCGCGAAGCAGGAGCTTGTACATACTGCACCGGTCCAGCTGCCGGGAGCTCTACCACTGCAACCACTGCAACTGATGACAGGCAGTCACTATTCTTCACAGTGTACTGCAAGAAAAGACTCTCACCAGGAGGCATGTCGCACTGTGCTGCTGTAATCCATAGCACGGATCTGCTGGACACCACAAACTTCAGAACATGTAACTCTGAACTGCCACCTGAGTCTCAGTATCCAAGAAGTCCCCAGCAGCAAGACATCTCCATCTTCTTGTCTATCAACCAGCATGGAATCAGTCTAGGAAATCTCAGGGCAGAGCAAGGTCCTGGCAAGGCTTCCTGAGGCTTTCACAGTTTTCTTAACTGAGGCATCCTGGGGAAGCCTCTAAATAGCCAATGCAAATAACTTCTAATAAACACATTATTTTTCACCTCCAGAAAAGGAAGCTATTTCTATGGTCACTCCTC